ATCTGTCTGTTCGCATAAGTGTTTAAAGGCAAATTACTGGAGCAATCAAAAAGGGTTTGACTCTTCTAAAAGCTTTTCATKTTAGTTGACTATATAGCCATTAGAYGCTTAAGCATTGAGTTGCTCAGGGTTGTTGCCAGCTCTTCGTTTCAATAGTTCACCGAGTTAGATCTTAAAGTAATGCCTTTTTTGACACCCCCACTTCCCCCCTCCTCATTTTTTTGTCTTTTGGCCATGTGTCAAGAGAAAGGAAAGTTAGGGAGACGGTATCACGCTTTTGATAGCCGGCAGTTGTCGCACTGTGTGTGATCCCCTGCAGATTCTTTTTGTGGAATCTGAAGGAGGAGATAAGGCTGGGAGTAAAAGGGCTGGGGCAGGAGTTGATAAAAGCAGCAAGTTACTTTAAATATTAAGAGCTGATTTTTAAGGTTGTATCTTTTAAAAGTCTGCTTTATTCCTTTGTTATGCTAAATATCAATGTCGCTGTAGCACAAAGGACTTAAACATGGATCTGGTATTCCTTAACCCAGTCACAACTGGAGTGTTGTCTAAACATGGATCTGGTATTCCTTAACCCAGTCACAACTGGAGTGTTGTCTAAAAGCATATATAGTGGGGGAGGTTAACAAAACTATTTTTTTTGGTGATCTGCTGGGAATTTGTGAAAGAAGTGTTACTTCCACAGTGTAATTTAGAACACAGTTATTTTCTTTCTGTTTGAAAATACATAGCATGCTTTCCCAGCACGACACCTCAAGAGAGTTCTGATATGTGCTTTAACATACTATACTGAAAGCAAATTTATAGAGCAGTGGCTATGCTAAATTCCTTTTGGGGGGCAGGAGAGTTTTTGCAATAAAGTTTTACATAAAACTTAATTTTTACCAAAATTTTCTTCCCTATGCAGCATTTCTAAATCTAATTGAAAACAAGTTGGTTTCAGACAACTTGATCAAATAATCACTGAACAGATGATGATGACTTTTCATTGCTCTGAAATTATGCCCAATTGAATGGATTGCAAGGAACAATCTTCATCTGGCAACTCTCTTGCTTTAGTTCCTGCATTTCTGTTTTCATTTAAAATGATATGATTTTTTTCATTAGAAAAGAACCATGACTAACCTTATCAAGTTATTTGGTAACGACCAAGATATTCAAGGTATTTTGTTGATACCATGAAATCAACTTTCTGAATTTACACTGTGAAATTAAGAATAAAAGTATCTTTTGTTATGGCCATCATAAATTTCAGCATATTTTCTTTCTAGATATACTGTATGTTCTTTTGATTTAGATGGATCTCGATAGAAGTGAAATCTCTCCTGTCAGAAAAGAGCATGTTTAAAAGATACAGATAAAGTGTTACTCCACAACACTGTGTATCATAGTAATACCTGTAAAATAGAAGTGATGCAAAAGTATATGCAAAATTACTTGGTGCTATCTGAAACTGCCAAACTCCAGTCACTTTATAAGCTACAGAAGACCATCCAGGAATGTTTCRGTTTATGCTCCTCACAGTCCACACAGTCAATAAATAGCCAAGGTCAAACTGAAGTAGCTTCTATAAAAAAAATCAAGATAAAGGGTAATGTTTCCTTTTTCTTTCTTAAAGCTTATTTTATTTTAATCAACCACTTCCTTCTTTGCTACCAAGAATAATTCAGAGCTTTGACACAGAGCCATTTTACTGCCAAATGACATATAAAGAATGTTTTATGTCTGCTTTACTCCCTTGAAAACAGAGGCAGTAGAAGAAAAGTTACTACTCCTGTTTTTTCAGTGATATGCACCCTTTTACAAGCATTCTGTCCTCTCGGTGAAAATTTTATATGTTATTTACATTAGGACGTCCTGAGATTCTCTGCAATCCATCTGTTGCTATAGGCAAAATGCCAGTGTAGGGGATGGAGGGTTGTTGCAGGGTGACTTGTACATGTAGTTCTATTAGGCTGCCCCACAGCATCACCAAAATAATGTTTTTATTTTCCATAGAAAAAGCAGAAACCTGTAAATTTGTGGGAGCCRCCTGAGCAAATACACAAATTGGGCACCTGTTTTAGACTAAACTGAGCAACCGACTCCCAAGCTTTATTACAAGATAATTCACAAAGAATATTAAAGTATCTTTAATATTTTTCACATTAAGAGGGAAGAGGAGGACAACTGTAAACAAAATCTGTTTGTCATAGTTTCTCAAATCATTAATCATTGTAGTTTTCTGAAATACATAAGCAAACGGAGAATGGGGTGAAACAGAGTAACTCATGTTTAATGAGCTCTGAGCATTAATGTTGGATTTGCAGGGTCTGTGCTGCAGCAATAGTGAGACCTTTTTGAAGTGAATGGGGCTGGTTTCTCCTGCTTCTGCTGAAGCATCAGTTTGCTGTGAAATGTGATAATATAAACATACAAAAGAACTTCCATGTTACAGGTAAAAATGGCRCTGTGGGCCTCAAAAGCTCATTTGATGCTCATTTTCAGTATCACTGGAATAGATCTGTAAAAAGTGGAATTGCATATTATTGACCCTAAAATCCAAAATTGTTTGAAATTTCAACGTAGTGTAAATTTTTGCCATTTTAATATATTAACAAATTTCTCCAGATGTGATAAAAGCTTTACTTATGCATATGTAAATATTATTGTCTACATATTTACAGTAATGTACAGAAGTCACTACAGAAGTTGACCTCCTAATTCTGAGGTAATCAGATACTATCACCCTAATAAATGACTTGAAACACACTAGTATAAAATAACTGTGATTCATGTGGGAATTTCTGAATTTCTCCCATGCATGAGAAGTTAAAAGTAGAACATAGATGATTCCTGCTGCTACTGCCTTATTCTTCTTTTTCATGATGAAGGAATGACTGTTACACTAATAGTGTGTTCTGTTTTTTTTCCTCATCTTATTGAAAACTGAGAAGGCCTCTGTCATCCCTTAAAAGGAGTCTTGTGTCACTTAGACTGTGATTTACCCTCTTTATTCAAATAAAGAGCACCCAACGAGTTATTAGACACAACTAGTCTGATCTTAGCTGTGCAACTGTGTCTGTCATTGCTCCTCCAAAGGTTTCCAACCAACACTTGGGCTGAAAGAAGGGAATGTTTGCCAGCCTGTCAGCCTTCTGCATTTCAGTTTGTGCTGTCTTTTTATTGATGATGAAAGTAGGGTTACAAATAAGGCTATAAATTCCTATACATTTGCTGCCTCTGATACAAGGAAATGATACATAGCAGTATACATAAACAGTGAGSAAGACAGCTACAACAACCTGAAGCACTGTGGAAGTTCTCTGCCGTAAGTAACAGTTGGTCCCCAAAGAAAGGAGCCTCAGCTTCAAAGGTGTTTGGTGCTACTAGTAACTCCCCACTTGTCTGAACTTCAAGATGAAGCAGGATTCAAATTAATCTGAACTTTGATGTCATCTAGGTAGAAGGTTTTGTTTTTTCTTTCTCCTGTAGCTATGGCATACAGCTTACTTTGGATTTGACAGCTGGAAGGCTCAGAAGATTGGAAAGATAGAAATTGTTCTCCAGAGTGTTGATTTATTATGAAAATGAGTGATTTATTTATAATTTTAAGAAAATAGAATATAACCAATATAGTGTTTCTGCCTGAATTCAAAAAGATGCAGAACTAAGTCTTTCAGACTAAYCACACAAACTTCGGAGTATCCAGAAGGACACAGCCCTACACACACATTTTTCACCTACTGTTAGTAAAAGCTAGATGCCCCATACTTTCTCTTCTTTCTTATTTTCAGGACTCCRTAGCATATAGCTAGGTTGATATTTGGTATCACAGCCATCTAAATATGTCGATGTTAGTTACATTAAGAACGTTTCCCACTAACAGTGGGATATGTGTGTATAAGGCTGTTTCCTTTTGCTTATTCTGAAAACAACAGCAAGAACAAAACATTAAAAATACTGGCATTGAATCCTTCTGGAGTGTCAGAAGAAATGGGTCTTACTGAAAGATTGTGATAAAGAAATTTTGACTATTATTTCACAGTAGAAATTTGGTAGCTATAACTGAAGCTGAATAACCTCAGGAGTTGGAAAATAAGAGCTTGTGCAGTAAGTAGAGAAGATTGCAAGCTTTTTCCCAATCAAAATCCAGTGGGGAAAGTACTATGTCAAAAGCATCTTGCAGAGAAAATGTATTATTTTCTTTTCTRTCCTAAGCTGCTGTTGTAATCTGAACCTTTACAGAAAATTGCAATATGTTTCTTTCAATACATTCTTATACATGAGAGGTTATACTCTCATGTATACAGGTATTTTTTTTTTTAACACTAAGTGCATCTGGACTTCAAASAAGGGTTACGGCTAAGTTGATTTGAAGCCAAATCTGTAAGCTCTAAGCTAAACAATGGGAAGTTATGGTTATGACACATCTGAAATGACTTTTTCAGTCACAAGGGTAGAAAGCCACACAAATATAAGGAAAAATATAAGGAAATATACATGCAACAACTTTCCTGCTTTAGAGGATCTCTTGTTTTCTTATCAAGWTCATCTGGATGATATGAAATAGTAACTGGTGGGAGATGCAGATTAAAAACAAAGCCTAACTATAATAAAACTCGCTTGAAAAATAGTGTTTTTTTTTTAATGAGCAGCATAGCAGTCATATTACCTTAATTTATATATTTTATGCATATATTTTACACTTTTTAAAACCATGGTAGTTGGTTTGAGGCTTGGCATGGTAGGTTGAGTCATGCTCAGCTGTTCTGTATGAGAGCTTAAAAGGTACTGAACGTTAACTAACTGGTTTTAGGTCCTGTCCTAGCAATGAAAATTAAGCAGGTAGGACAATATCATGCAGACTCCAGAAAGGATTTTAACAGTGAAGCTTGCAATGGTGGGGTTAAAATGGGAGCATGAGGAAAAGAAGAAATGACCATCTTTTTTGTTAGTTTGCTGTTAAATAATAGCCTTCTTTTTTTTCCCGAACCTCACCTTAGTCCTAAAAACGCAGGCGGCTTTTCAGTTCTCCGACAGAAACTTCTTGTTAATTAAAGGAAGATACCTCAGTTTGCAGTGTCTCAGTGTCTTTTCYTTCTTGAGACTAGCAGGTCACGCGGTTATCTTCTTAGAGACTCGCTAGAAAAGAAAGCTGTCAGCAAGTTATGCTAGAATCCCTCACTTGATAGACTAATGTACAATAATCATCTTTTCTCAGTGCTAATCTAAAATTATTCCTCCGATTGCTGTGAGGAGAACTGAAAATCCTATCATAGGCTATTTTTGTCTTCAGGGAAAATTCCTTCCTAATTTCCTGACGGTGCCTGGCAGTTGCCCAAGCCTAGCAACAGGGCTGGTATTCCCTTCCTCTTTCTGTGTCCTTGTTCCTACTCTGATGCATTCTTCCTTTATGTTTACAGGGGAGGAAGACCCCAAGCAACCCAACTTACCCTCCTTTCGTTCCTAGTTTTCTCAGGACCTTTCAGCCTCTTCTGTCAGTCTGTTAGAAGTCTATGAAAACAGGTCGTGTAAGAGTGAGCAATTTTATCTAGATATTATCTTCTTTGTGTGGTCTGTCAGATTCTGAGTGTCTCTTTGTCCATCTCAGGAAGAAAACATAAAATAGAAATGAAAGAATCTTGATTCCTCCCAACCCTCCTGGCCTCTCCTCCTTGGCTACTCTGAGAAGTTTCAGAAACTATGCAGTGATTCAAGTGCGTTTTCTTTTTTATTAAGCTGAACAAGACTTAGTATTCTGTGAGGTTTGTTCTGTGTTGTTTTCTCTGTGCTTGGTCTTGAAGAGAGCGGTCTTCCTTTGGAATTTGAATATCTGTCTTGTGCACTGAATTAAAATTAGAACAAAAATAATCATTTCTGATGTGACTAACGCTAGGAGAAAGTAGATTTTTTTTCAATGTTTTTAAATAACAGAATATATTCCATTATTTATTTTAACCCACTGAAATGTGTTTTCTTTCTGCCAGTGTTTTGTAAGAACTCTATTATTAACTTTGTCATTTTTAGTGTTTGTTAATGTTCGTTTAGAGAGAATATGATGTAGTATGTTCCTTTCTCATGTGGTATGTAATATGAGTGTTCCTAGGTAGTTGGTCTACAAATGATGTTTTCTTTTGAATGATACTGCAACCCGTACACTTATCTGTCAAAACTGATTTTGATGCAACAGGTTATTCAGGAATTACTGATTTTTCCTTTTGGATTATGCAAATATGATTGCTCGGAATCCACACAGGTAGTTCTTTTCCTTGTGCTCAAATGAGTTGAATATGCAGTGCTGAAAATCYTCTCTTTATGTTTCTAAGCCTTGCCTCTGGAAATGACTTGGTACMGTTGTTTACTAACTGGATTATCATAGTATTTAGCATCCTGTACAATGGAGTCGTCATATGGGGGTCTGTTGAAAGAGGACAAAGAAATAGTCCCTGCCTTGGGGATTAGACAATTTCAATGACAATACACACATTCAAACAGGAAAAGGTAATTTAAGAATCGGTGGACACATGAAAATTTCTGGGCTTGTAAACACTACTGTGCTTGYTGCGGATCTGAGGATATGCAAGTTGCTTGAGGAAGATGTGCAGATGTCTATTTTACCTACGTATTCAGTTACTGAGTGRAAATTGCTTTGATGCAACATTTCAGTATTGTGACTAGAAGTTCTAGAGAACAGTTTGGTCCTGCTCTGTCTGACCCAGCATCTCCAGGGAACAGGTTCCAGTGGCTGAGCTGAAGTCCATGGCAATTCTACAGATACTTCCTTGCCATCTTTCACATCCATTAAAAGCAAACAGCTTTTAATTCCCTATGTTGTAAGCTCTTGAACTGTATTAAACATACACGGCAGAAATTATAAAAACTGCTGCCTTTATCTGCTGMTTGCTATTTCTTTGTGGATATTTTTCTGATGTCATATCATTCTGTATTAAAAACTGTTTGTTCTCAGAGATAAAACTGCAATAGAAGTTCTCTGATCAGTTGAGGATAAAGGTATTACAAGGAAGTTAATTATAAGAAAATACTGCAGGCACAGAGGGGTTAAGTTGTTTCTCCTTTGCTTCATAGATTGCATTGTGTTATAAGCAGTAGTGTATTTTTAACATCCATAAATCCAGTTGAAAAATAGCTGAGCTAAATCACCACAGTACAAGTGTACAGGAGTCCAATTGAAAGATTCTCTCAGCGTACCTACCAGGGGAAGTTTTTTCTATCGATTTCACCAAAATTGGGATTTCAATTTGCATGGTTCAACCTCAGCAACACAACTTCAGTTTCAGTTTTATAGCTAAGCATTGCATAGGCTGCATAATTAAACTGGATTGTAAGAATAGCATTGTATTCCCATTACTCAGACGAGGGGCTTTCCATCTCTTTTGCCTCTTTTCTGTGTCTGCATATTGATCAAAAGTCTGAAATATGCATATAAGAAATAATCATTTATTTATTCTGCATTATTTATAGTTTTAATTGTAAATTTGATGTATAATAATCAGGTTTTTTTTAATGAACTGTGCTCAGAATTTGTTCATAGTTCCTATTTCCAATCTATTTTCCGCAACCTCAATCTAAGTGGCTCAATTACAGGTAGTGTTATCCTTTAATAGTCATTATGTCCCATGGAAAACATCGAAAGAAATATGCTATTTAAAGGCAATTATGCCTGAATATCAAGGCTTTCTAAAGACTTCTGCATGAAAACAAGTTCAGAAAAACTTATAATATAGTAGAATAATTCTCTGTTGTGGCATCGTAATCACCTGTCATAGAAAGGGATCATGTGATATCATAGTTAAGCATGATCAGAAGTGTGCAATCATAAGGGCGATCATCTGTATTGTTAAAGTACATAATATTACTCCTTTTCAGCAAGAGTAGGGTCTGCCCAGAGCTCCTTCAGCACACAGAAAATGCTGCACAGAGCAATTGGATGCAAATTAAATGTCTGATCTTCAGCTTTCGGCATAGTAGTCCTGCCCATACTCCTACTTTGTCACATTGTGCTTCCCTTTTTCTAAGATGGGTAGAGCTTGAGAGTCACGGTGTATAAAATTGTCATCCCGATAAATACTAGAGACGTGAAGGCTTTCATCCAAATTGTGCGTTCTTTTTAGGATGATAGCATTACATAATAATAGGGGCAGATTTCCAACTCCTTGATCAACAACATGATCGCACAAAGACTTCTTAAATAATTCATTTCCGTCTATCAGGGCTGACATGAGGCAGGGATACCAAACAGCCTCCTTTTGACAGGGGAGTCCAGTAGTGCTGTTCTTATTCATTGCCRTGCTCCTGGCACAGGAACATTTGCGGGCATGCGTCCAGCTCCCCAGGAAACTTGGAAACAGGCCAGGTTAAAGAACTGTAACTGTGGCTAACAAACCAGCTGCTGTATTGAGCTCCGAAGGAAGCCTTTGTAGCGGGTGGAAGGAACTCRAGGTATTTGCATAACATCCAGCAGCCGTCGTGGGAAGGGTTGGCAGGAGCACAACGGCAGGGTAGGCATCCAGCTTTTGTCTTCTGGCCATATCTGCCATATTCCCCCTCTAAAAGCAAGGATGAGACGAGAAAGAGAGAAGCGAAGAGCTTGACCAAAAGGATTTACAGGTCTCAAGGGAAGAATATTCAGGGTTATATTAAAAGCGTTCTCTCTGGAAGTCGTAGTCCATTAAATTCAACAGCCTTGTATAACAAATAGCATCAACATCATCTGTAAGTGCATGTATGCAAGTTGCTAAGTTCTTAAAGTAGAGAAAGAAAAATTATTCAAGGRAAACAACAAATACAGGAAAGTAGACTGCTGTTGGTCAACGTAGGTCAGCTGTCAACCAAAAAACCCAGTGTTGCTGAGGAGTTTACAGCAATAGCCAGTGTCCAGATATACACATTCTACATTAAAATACGCTTATTTTGTCAGTTAGGCCAGCATCAGAATTTTAGAAGTCAACATAAACATATAAGTAGTATAACATAAATTATACTGCACAATAACTATTAGTATTTCCCATAGAATATCAACCTACAGTTCCACACCACTCATTTTTATGGTTATCTGTCATGATATCAACCATGATATTGGCTGCTTTTTACATTAAGTAAAATAATTTTTTTCAGTGTGCTTCTGCTTAAAAAGGTTAATTCCATAGTTTAATGGAGTATTTAACACCACTTCCAAAAGAAGCAGTCTTGCTTTTGTGTTTCCTTCAGGCCTTGCACGAATAAAGGTGTTTGCAAGGCTAAACAGTAATGCCACGCTGGGGATTTGGATTGCAAATAAACAAGGGGGAGGTATCTGTTTGTTGCCCTTCAGGCTTGACTTGCACCACCTCATCYGCTGCTTGGTTTAAATCTGGATTATGTCTCTGAGCCAGTTTGCTACTTTTGCACAGAGGCTTATGACAGGAGAAGTTAACACCAGGGAAGAAAAGAATGGAGTTGTTGAGGCAAAGCAGTTCCTGGCCTTCTAGGTATTTCCTCCCTTTGTAAGAGATTAATTGTAATGGTAAAAAATAGTAATAATTGTGTACAGGAATGACTTCAGTGGCTGTTTCTGTGGAGGGATAGGTAAGAAATATAATAGATGCAATTTGCCATGGTATCTCCATATGAGGAAGAATTTTACTGAGAGGGTGCCAGAGCCCTGGCACAGGCTGCCCAGGGAGGCTGTGGAGTCTCCTTCTCTGGAGGTCTTCCCAACCCRCCTGGATGCCGCCCTGTGCCCCGTGCTCTGGCTGTCCCTGCTGGAGCAGAGGGCAGAGGGGTTGGACTAGATGGTTTCTAAAGTCCCTTCCAACAAGAGAATCAAATTAATCTTCAATAAACAGATTTCAAGATATGCTCAATTGACCTTTCTTTGTCCTCACCACTACTTTATATTCTTGCAAAATCAGAAAGATGATTCTGGAATTGTTTAGCCTTATTTCAGTGGCAAAGTTTTCTTATATTGTTGCTGTTATGTTCAGAAGACTCAAAGACTATGTACACACTAAAAAAAAAAAACAAAAAAACCCACGCATTTTATATTGTTATTTACTCATTTAAATGTATAACCCACAGAACATGTTAAAATACAGCTCACAAACATTCTCTTTTATCTCTACATAGAGATAAGTAGTACCACTAAATAAATAGTAGTGGTATTCAGCATATTGACTGACTTTTTTTTTTTTTTTTTTT